CTCTCTCTCTCTCTCTCTCTCCTCTCACACTGGACACTGACTTAAAACATGAACTGAACATGAACTGACATGAAGCTGCACAGCCACGACTGTCATCACATGCAGCACACCGGCACACACACACACACCTGCACCGCGAGTTTGTTGCAATGCCTCTTCGAGGTCGCTCAAAAGTCAAAAGTGAAAAGAGCTTCACACATGCTCCGCCTCCGCTCCTATGGAGCTTCTGGGCAGTGCCGATCCAACCATGCCATCGTTGGCAACTTCTCATCGTCTGCTTCCTTAAGCACGCGCTTCCACGTATCTTTCTGGTGTTTGGTCTTTGACCTCACCTTGCAACCATAGACTGCCCAAGCTTTTAACATCCTCAGACACATGTCTTCCCCCAAAATATTGATCGATCTCGTTTTCGTGCAGGATGCAGAACCCTCGTCGCAATGCCGAAAGCAGAACATCTGCCATGAATCTTTCTTTTTGGTGAGCCGGAAAGATCCGCCCCACATGTAAGATGCATCCATATTCCTCCTGTTTCTTGGGTTTGCTGCTGCTTTGGGAGCTGCGGCTGAGGCTGAGGCTTCATGCTCGTCCTTGTCATTGCTGGAGGAATCTGAGGAACTGCTGCTGCTGCTACTACGGTTACCAGAGCCAGAGCCACTGCTGCTGCCGCTGCTCTTGCTGCTTTTGCTTGACGACGAACCAGACTCTGAATCAGACACGTCATCGCCGTCATCATCATCATCCACACACGACATGTCCGCATCCGCATCCACAGCAGGCATGGCACCGACGCCATGGCCATCATCCTCGACCGCTTCTGCTGCAACTTCTGCTTCCATATCCAAAGCTGCAGCAAGATCATGATCCCCATATTCGAAAGCGAGAGCAAGTGGTTTCTGTCGAACTACAGTACGTCTGCGCTGTTTGGTTTGCTTCACGAGGCTTGCTTCGTTCACCCACAAATCCTCATCTTCCAGAAATGTAAGCTTGTCGCAACCACGCTTGCGCTGCCGTTGAACTGCAGCTGAATCAAACTCTTCATCGTTTTCAATGGCCCGCAACAGACCTTGGTAAAGGCTGCCTGCTTGTAAATGAGGAACAGGACGGGCATGCTCATCCGCTGTAAGAAGCAATAAAAGATACTCCCTGCAGAGGCCCTTGTGGGCCGCATGATACCACACTTTGGGTTGGCCGCCGCCTGCACTGTACGGGGCAGGCATATCTTCCTGAGACAGCTTTCCAACAGACTCGTGAGTCCAGTCTTGAGCACGCAAAGACATCATGAGCTCAACGATCTCCATGTTTTGTGGAGACACACCAGATCGAACTCTCACGAGCAAGCTACAGGATTGCAAGGTTTGCCCCACCTGGACAGAATCCCTGCCTTTCTCTGTCAGCAGCCAGCCAACATTGTCGTCTGACTCGGCCACGAGTCCTTGTTCAGACATGGAAGCCAACAACTTCAGCTTCGACTTCTGACATGCGTCGTTCCCTGGCAGCTGGAAGGGACCCTCTGCAAGAAGATCGCTCAGCACATCATGGAGCAACCTTGAACACGAATCCCCGGCTGAAGCTCGGCACTTTGAACGATCGAAATCCTCCTCGGCATAGGAGTAAACTACGTCGGTATCTGCATGCCATTGGTGAACCTTCAACAAAGCTTCCAACGGCAGGGCCTCCAGGCTCAAGAAAACATTCAGCGAGGCTGATTTGGAACATACTACGACCTTCTTCTCTGCAGCGTTGTAATCAAGCACATGCAGTGGCGAAATGGCCCAATCAGCTCGCTTCAGCCCATGACCTTTCAATGGGATGACTATATCACCCAGATTCCGCCTGAGCAATTGGAAGAAAATCCAGCCACGCCATGCAAAACCCTTGCTTCCCAACCCCTTGAAAACTGTAGCATCCTCTGCTGCACTGTCTGAAGTACCGGGAAGAGCCTTGAAGGCTTGCTCGGCATCAGAAGGAACCGGCACAGAGAAAACTGGACCAGCATGAGATGAGCTGCTGTTGCTGCTGCTGTCATCCAACATGGTTGCTACACTACGGAGGATGTAAGTCTTGAAAACATCATCCATCGATCCGCCGAAAAGGGGCTGTACTTCCTGCCCGGGATCCGCCTCGAGCAAAGCCAAAGCCTCTGCGACCGGATCATGATCTGCGGAAGCTGAAGCAGCAGGGCCACCGCTGCTGCCGGGCATGGCAGGCCCTGACGGCCCACCTGAGGCTGGAAGGGCTGCTTGAGCAACTTGAGCACTTGGCTGCCGGTTCTGCAAAGCTGCCAGCGGCTGCTTGGGAGCTGGTGGTGCTAGATCTGTCCACCGTGGCGCAGTCCTGTAAAGAGTCCCTGCATCCGCATGATACACGATTTTCATGTGCATCGGATCTCGGTAACCTTGAATTCTTGAACAGGAGGGGTGGCAATTCAACCCTAGACTCTTCAGCGCAAGAGCTGGAGAGTGTGCTGCATCTGCCAGACGTGCCAACGTTTTCAGAAGTGCTGGCTCAGCCTTCAAGTCTTCTTCAAGGAACGGCATCCTGGCAGGCGCAAAACAGGACACAGCTCAACTTCAGCTGCTCACGCCTGTCACCCGCCTGCGGTTCATCGAAACATACGCAGCTGTGTGGTTTCCAGCCAGAGCAATCCTCCGGTGAACCTGTCCAGCTTTGGATAATTCAAATCTCACAAAGACCTTTCGAGGTGATTGTTAAATATGCCCGGCCTGCGCATGGTCTCCTTCAACTTTGCGCTCTGCCGTCGGGCAGAAGCACAGCTTCGCGAGAAAACGCTGCAACAAATGCAACGCTGACAAGGTCTCCCCTTCATCCAGGTAGCGATCTACTTCCGCTCTTAAATCCCCGGTTTGCAGCTCTAACACAAGTGCTTCCTGAGAATCCAAGCCCCTACATCTACGCAAGAAATCTTTGCGAGGTTGCTCCTGCAGATGACCACAGCCAAAGATCATCCATGGCAATTGTCG